ACCAAATTCCAATCATTTCCAATATGGCTGACTGTTGCTGACGAAAACGCTCAATATATCCATGAAGATTTCAAAGAACTCCAATATTTCTTATCAATTCAATTTCTTAAGAAATTTGTACAAAAAGTTTTTACAGCAACTGTTGCATAAAATTTTCTAGCACAGAGGTGATTCTTGCTTTTTCAATGCCTATCGGGTTTAGCCCTGTAAAATGTTTTTGTGAGAAATTTGAACATTTTGAAAATTTGCTTACTTAAGAATTTTTCGAATTTTTAAATTTGACGCCTTGTATTGAAATGGGTCGGTAGGCTTGTATAACCTGGTGCAACAATTGCTTTCTAAGCTTCTGTTGGATTTTTTTTATCAGATATTCATTAAGAACTAAAGCAAGAAGCGTAAAGATTTAATTTCGTATGACTTTCAAAGCCCAAGCCAAATGTAAGGTAGGCCTGTTGAATTTTTTTCAGCAACGAGTCTGAAATTTTTCTTCAGACTCAATGCTATTAGAAAACTTGAACGAGTTTTTAATAGTGTATTTTGTTTTTGCAGACATCCTATAGTTGTAGACAATTTTAGTTTTTGAGAACCTGTATAAAAGAGATTTGCCATTTAGAATTTATTTGTTTTGATGCGTCCCAAAAATGTTTTTGCAATAAAAGTATAATTTGCTAATTAATTGAATGTTTTGTATAATTTGTTTATATCTGACTCGTGATAAAAATAAAGTTTAGCGTAACGTAAAAAAATGACTTTGTTTCTATTGTCAACTTTTTTGAGTTTTTGGACAAAGTTTCGGTTGAAACATATAAATTATTTCGGGGTTTCTTCTCAGTTAAATTGGAATCATTTGAATAAATTTGTCTTAGTAGTAGTCAAATTTTATCGGATAGTTTTATTTAGAAACTGTGTCTAGACAGCCTGTTTTAGTGGCACGCTTGAATACAACTAAAATACTTCTTTGATCTTTGGAGCACAGTTAAGTAATTATTTAGTCAATGAGAGTTTTTGATAGTGTAGATTGGGCACTGTTTCACCATTCACTTCGAAGATATAAGAGATGAAAATTGTTTTTTTTTGTCTGCATTGAATTATTTCAAAATATAACAAGACTGCTCGTATCAGGGCGAAGCCCTGAATGTTCCGACTGCCTTTTAAGGTTTACGGAGCAGCAGTGTTAAAGAAAAAAATTAAATGAAATAAAGTAAATAAAATTTTTTTAATTAAAATTTGACTTTTTTTTTGAAATTCATCTCCCCACACGCCATATAAAGTACAAAAAGATATATTTCGTTCCTTGTAACAAATCAATGATGGCAAATAAGCTTCGTTCAACCAATTTGGAACGATTTATAAGACGGATCGAATCTCCGCTTACGCGTTAATAGCGCCAAATATATCGCGCGTTAATTGTCCCAAATTGGTCAAAATGGCCAAAATGGCAATCTTTAAACCCTCATAACTTTACGAAAAATGATCACAGGGAAAATATCTTTTCAAATTTAGGCTCAGGACAACAATACCTTTTGAATGATATAAAAAAATTCCGTCAAAAATGGCTAGTTAAAAAGTCGAAATTTGCCTGAAGAAAAAAAAACCCCACCCCGAGCACAAATATTCCGTTACTTTCGTATCGAAAGTCGGAACAATAACTATTCAGTACTTTCTTTAATTATTCAGAAACCAAATCCAATATACTCAATTTTGGTCCATGATACTCGAGTGCAGGTCAGATTCCAGCCAATCAGATTCCAGTATTCCAATATTTGGAAAAGAAGCGTGTAAATCTCAGAAAAAGTAAAGATTTCCAGGGACTTATTATTAATATTGGCAAAAAAAGGCGGCAGAAATAAGCAACACTTTCAAATTTTCACTGACCGCCGTCGATTTGGAACAAATTTTTTGTTTGACGGGTTTCGTTATACAAGAAGCACAATACTGCTTGATTTGATTCCATTTGAAAGGCAATTGATTCATTTTAATAATTGACTTTTGACTCTTTGTGTTTTTAGTTTTTCGCCCATGAATTCTTTGCCCATTTGGTCCTTTGCCCATGAGAATAGCCCCAGTTTTTTCATTTAGTTTTGGTTAACTTTACCGGATAAACAAGAAGAAACAAGGTAGAATTCGATTGGAAAGAGACGTTTTTGGCTCTAAACTTTATACAAATTGCAAAAGGAAGAAAAATCATAATAATTTCAAAGAAGATTTTTTAGTTTTTTTGAAAAATTTTGTTCAATTAGCAATAGGAAGAGCTATTAGAAAATTGAAACGTACAAAACTAAATATATTTAAAGTTTTTATATGGAAAAACAGTAATAATTTTCGAAAATTTTTGGTAACCCATGGAAAACCAGTTTCAATAGTTTTCATTACATCATGTTCTAGTTTACTATAATTAACAAACTGCTCCAATTCTTAAAAAGGTGTCACAGAGACTATTGGTAAGACAACAAACAAGTTTTTTTTACTTCTAAATGAAAAATTGTAGACTTATACGAAGAGTATTCTCGTAACAAGCGTAACTTTATTTTGCTGAAAGACTTGGGTATAATTGAAGCAGTATTGGCTTCAGCTCCTGAAGATTTCTTGTTTTGGATATTCTGACTCAATATAGTTGTATATGATAGATAATCCATTTGGTATTTTCGCATTGGTGATTGTTTAGATAATGTATTTAAGTGGCTGTCTGGCTGGGCTATTCTGATTTCTGAGGGTATCGGAGAAATGGCATTCAAACTAACGGAAGCAAATAGATATGAAAAAATCTCCTCGTTCATCATCAACTTTCATATTACCCCCATAAAGCTCC